TTTAATCGTCTATGTACAAACATATTTAACTTTTTTACGCCACATTTTATAACGTCACATAAATGTCATGCGTGAGGAAAATTAAGTTTCCGTTAAAACGTCTATTCCAAGGTAAAATTTCGAAAATCTCTCGCAGAATTTTCCTCCCAAATAAGATAGTTATTCTAATGTTTTTAAAGATTAACGTTCTGCTTTTGTTTTATCTCGCGAGGTAATTTAATTTTGCTTATAATTATTTAAAGAGCGTACACTGTCGAGGAAAGGGAAAGAAAAAAAAATGCACCATAATGGTACGCCAGAATATTCTGTATGCATAATTTATTTTACAACATCTAATGAAGAATACATTATTATAGACACCTCCATTAATCTAATGACAGCCGCCTGCGGACGAATATTTTATTTCGCCGAGGGTTGATGGGGAATATGCAATTTTGTGGGATCAGCGCGGGCGTTGCGGGAACGCGCGTGTATGTTTTGCAAATTCGACCCCCGCCGTTTCAAAGTAAAACTCAAATGACTCGAAATAAAGAACGGAAATGGGTCGCCTGCGCGCGCGAATGGTTGCGTAGTAATTAAATTAATAGGTGGCCGTAACCAACGGCAATGGCAGGTGATTGGTAGTATACGATCGCGGCCATAGACCATGCGGAACAGTCGGCAGGCACAGTACGGCACTATCCCGGACACGTAGATACGTGTCTTTCCGTTATTGTATTTTATTGTTTCGATCTTACCCTCTCGCCGTTTCGAAGGAGAAGTCACGCGAACATCATACGTCCTAACGCGAGTCGCATATAAATGTACGTCGAGACTCGGCAATCAAAATATATTGAAATATCGATTACCGTCCCATTTCCGTGTCGCATCACCGAAACGACTTGGCAAAGGGTGCGAGGAGGAGAAAAGAAATTCACACCGCGTAGAAAAAAAAACACAGCAAAATACTTTATTGAGAAAATTATCTTCATATTTTACATCATATTCCATGTCCATATTTTACAGAGCATTATAAAAAGTCGTCGATACAATATAGCCTTATCGTCGCTGTTCCTTTAATCGCGAGGCTCGTCACGTTAGCGCGACAAAGCAAACATAATCGACGCGTGTCGCATTTGTCGAATGTTCGCACGTGTGGCGATAAATTTTCGTGCAGCGCGTGTTCTAGGAAGTACTTTCCGGGGCACGTTTTAACAAGGGTGCAAGCGAATTGTGGTAGGCCCGATAACAGGCAAGCACGGGGTACGTTAAGTTTCGAAACAAGTACGATCGTAAAAGTTTGCCGGCTTCGAGCCGGTTTCGACACGGGTGGTGGTGGTGGCGGTGGCGGTGGCGAAACCGGCATTAAATATGAATCATAAAAGAAGCATAAAGATAATTGTATGCTAATAGAGCAAGCGTATGCGCCGCGTCGTCCACGACGGCTCAGCGTCTCCCGTTATTACCTACGTATCTGCTTTACAGTGAATACCTACGTGCTCGCGTAGCCGCGACGCGATATAACGCCCGACCTTAGCCAATTTCGTGCGATCAACTTTGCCGCAACTATCTACCGCGCGCGTTGTGCCCGGGAAATACATATACTACTTAAATTAAAGATCACCCGTTTCGTCCTCGCTTCGTGGCCGCCGTTCGCCGATGCTCGTCACGTTTAGCAATTATTTGCGATCGCATCGCCGTTATCTTTGTAGTTTTACAGTGGGGAGACTCGAACGCTCGGAACGTAAAATAGGGGGATGCAATTTTAAATAGTTGTACCGCGTTACACAGAGTGACTTTATTACTGGCACCTAGAGTCGTTCGATTATTCCGTAAACCCGTTTAAACCTTGCGGCAGGCTGAAACTTTTACTGAGAAAAGACGTAAATGTCGAAATGAAGTCTGAGCTAAAATTATTTCTTGATATTAAAAAGATTCGCGTAATCTCGTTAGATATTCGAGGGCTTCCTTTTCTTTTCTCTCGTTCGCAGTATGCATTTCTCTTTGAGTTTTTGATAGGAAACAGGCAGCGAGGAACTAATATACAGAGGCAATTTTTACGATGTAATATCGCAGACGTTCTGTACGTCATAATAATGCTCCGCCTTGCCTGTAATACTTTAGAGAAGCATGGCACGATCTCTTTGAAGCTCGCAAAACTTTAAATCTTTAAACAGTGTACGCGAACTCATTAAAAGTTCTTTCTCAGGAAGGATAAAACGGGATGTATTGACGAAGTTGGTTTAGAAATACACTGAGTTTGCGAACATCGGGTGCTGGTTTGCGGCCAATTCTCTTTATCTACTGATGCAAGTAAAATAAGAGCTTGACAGGCATCGCGGGAGGATAATCCGCAAAAAAAAAATTTTTTTCCCACGTCAAGATTATGATCTTTCTCAAGTTATCTAAAAAATATTACGGTTGCATATTTAAAAAAAAACGAGGTTTTAATAGCGAATGCATTTTGGCGTTTCCCCAAGATTTTCCACCAGTAAAATGCAATCTCTCCGCTGCAGGGAACTTTTCGAATTAAATATCAAAACGCGTGTTATTTGCTGCACGGGGGGTAAACTTTTTCCCTTTATCGACCTTAATTCTACAAACGGAAACGGTCGAGGCACGCGGAAGTGAGTCTTGGGAACTCTTAAAAACATCTGATGGAAGTAAAAAAAAAGCAGTCGTTAGAACTTTTCAGGGCGCACTTGACCGACCGAACGTAGAGGGTGTATGGGCTCTCGCGGGCCGATCGAATTTATTATTTGGAACAAAATCGACGTCGCGCTTTTGCGGCCATCGGCGCCGAGGGGCGCAGCGGAGCGGAGAGGAGCGAGGAAAATAAGACGAGCGCCGAGACTGTGCGGGCGGATAGCTTTTCACGAGGTCGTGAATCGGCAACGGTGAGGAGGAGTATCTCCTTGACCGCTTGCTAGCTCTCAGAGAGTCGATCGTCCCCGAGAGCTTTTACGGGTTTTGACGAGAGCGCACCGTCACGATGTGTAAACCATGAGACCGCTCGACGATTCTTCGAATCTCATCCTCTCCCGGGAGCGACGGGATCGAAGGGGGCGGGCATGGGATTCGACTGAAAGGCGAATCCTTTTTACGAGCCTCGGATACATACGCCCGAAGGTCGAAGGAACGAGGGCGACGGCACTCGGTACCCCCCGAGATCTCCTCTGCGCGCCGCTGCAGTCTCATTGCGGAGTCACGAGAATCCGAAGCAAGCATCCGAGACGCTCTCCGATTTTCCGAAAACCGCGCACGGGAGTGACTTCTGCCCCGCCCGAGTATTGCCACTTCGCCCGTATCGTCTCTAATGTAAAGCATTGTAATCTAAATATGGATAAGGCAAAGACGTGCGGGCTTTATTCGCGATACCGAGGTAAATATGTAATACGCGTGTGTATCCAGGTTGCGCACGTTCGGTGTCGCCGGCTCATCCGGAATCGCCGACGAGATAGAAAATGCGAATGAAATTTGTAGACGCTAGACATACGGGACGGAGAGAATTGCATATTTCTTGTTCGATCTCAATTCGATCTTGTTCCGTCTGGCTTTGTGGAAATTTGCCGTAAATAATATATGTCAGAGAAGCAGTCGAAATCATAATGCAACCCGAAGCTATGGAACTACCAGACTATGTAGATAGGACGGCCATTGTACGAGCCTGATTTATTAGTACCTTTTTCACCGCACCACGTGGAGGACCTTGACATGTCGGTCAAGGTGATCCAATGCTCGCAACACTATCCGCAAAATATCCCAATGTCACTCTCTCTTCTCCGAGTGTTCGCCCGCCCTAACTACCTTTCGAGGGCACTCGCGCCGAGCCGTAGAGTACTTCCACGTGTGTAGCACACAACATACGCGCGGGAAATCGATTCGCCGTTTGGAGGATCGGACTCAACATTCCCCGACCGTCTCTGACCGAGCGAATTGAAGTTTCGACCGAGTCATTGTTGCTCTCGGGGGACGATTCACCATCGAACATCCCTCAGCCGATCGAGTCCCACCAGGGCGGCGGGTGGTCGCGATCAGAGGCGAGGAGGCCAAAGTAGGACGGACAAATTTGACGCGCGACTCGTTTGGCGCTGGTATGTAAGAGATAATTGATGACGTTACGGTTCATTGCTGGCCTCTCTGTTACCCGACGCAGACAAATATTGACAGCTTCCGATCACAAAGCGGTGAGCAGTATCCTTTGTACGCGTCCCACGCACGCGGTGCTTGATGTCTGCTCGGTTTTCCTATCGAACCGCTGAGCTCGTGGGTAAATCAACGTCCGCGCTCGACGTGCATGTCGACTTCTCTAAATTAAAGCATCCCGGCCCGGCCCGTGTAAAGCCCCGTTCGCGTGGTCCATACGCGAATTCACCCCCCATCCCTCCCTCCTACCGCTCGACAAAAAATACCACTTTCGTTCGGTGCTTCTTTTACAACCAACAGAGCACTTTCATGTCTCAATTGGAATTTAAAAGCCGTCGGTGGATCTAGATCGACGAATCACATCAACCGAAAGAGTTCGAAGCATCCGCGCGAAGAGAGAGAGAGAGAAGAAAGAGAACGAGGAAGTTAACACGGGAATAAGATCAACGTGGTTTGCAAATTTTCGGTACGTCGACAAACCGCCGACAAAGGAGGAAACCGCGAAATTAATTAGCCGCGACAACGGTACAATTCTCGGGTACGCGGATACGCGTCAAAGGGATCGCGCAGTGATTTCGGAACGCGATGTAAGTTGCCTCCTCGCCGCGATCAAAGAGCTTTGGCTTCTCGCTTAGGAGGAACGAGAGTCCGGCGAACATAGTTCCGAGGAACATAGTTTCGCGAAGGTCTGTGTCTGCATTGTTCGTCTTCGGCCAGTCAATGGGACTGTCCGTGTGTTGAGCTTGTAGTAGGTTTTGCAGGACGCGTGCAACTTACACACACCACCGAGCAAAAATAATTTGAGACAATGAATGGCATGTAATAAATAAATAAGGCGATGTCGAATGGGAAGGAAGTAAACGAGAGACAGTCTGTGGATTTTGCAAAGAAATTACGTCTAATACTCGATAGAAGATTTTTGGTATGCATTTGTTTTTAAATTCTCTAAACTGTGGTGCGACGTCCGCACATTGCAATTGGCTAAGTGAAGGTAAATTCGTGATACGTGCTCACATCACGAGTCGGCGGTCTGTCGACAAACGTATGTGAGCACGGGTTGAAGCGTTTGGAATTATTGCCGTCCAATCGCTGCACCAACCTTCTTGTACTTGTTCGTTTCCGTTAAACCTACGTATTTTCATATTTCTACATCAGTCTCGCTCGTCCGTCCGGCAGATCCTTGCAGGTCTGGACCCAAGTGTACGGTTGCGGAGGCAATCGCCTTTCAAAGGGAACGTTCGTTCCTGCAAACCGGTTAGTAACAAGTTTCGCAAAATTCAATTAGGCGATCTACATGGCCCGCGGCGAATCATCTGCTCGTTTCTGACGAAGCCCGGGACGTTAATGTTCTTCTGATCCGCGTAATCGTTCGATCTAGAAGTTGCCGCTCCCTATCGACGCCGGCGCTCGTGTTGTGCTGATAGCGGCAGTTTAGAAGTTTCGCGACGGCGGCCGGGCCTTTCAGGCAAACTCCTTCATCTCGGACTCGAGCTTGTTGATCACCCATTGCAACCCTTGTCGGCCCTCAAACAAAAAAAAAAGACAACATCAGAGATTTTTATTGACCGTATCTGGCAATTTTAATAATACAGAAAATTTATCGCGAAAAATATTACCTCAACCAGGGTTTGAACCTGGACTTCCTTACACTCTAGGCGGGCGTCTCAACCAATTCGACCACCGAGGCATATATGCCGCCTAGAATGTAAGGAAGTCCAGGTTCAAACCCTGGCTGAGGTGATACTTTGCCGCAATAAATTTTCTCTAATTAAAATTGCCAGATACGATCAATAAAAATCTATGGCGTTGTTAATTACTGCTGGCGACTTTTAAGAATATTCTCATTAGAAAAAAAAGATTATACGAATTCGCGAAAAGGCGTGTGATCGCGAAAAATGCCGTTGCAGTCGATGTCATTCGTAAACTTTTATCAAACGTGCATCGCCGCCATAGAAGACATTTTTTTATCAGAAATCTTTGATACTATTCTGAATTGATGCCAATAGCATGCAGCAGAAAAATTTTCCGGACAGAAGTCGCATATCTCCCGAGAGAGAGAGAAAGAGAGTTTGCATCTCCCTGTTTTTTTATTCGATCGTAAAAAAAACTTCCGTTCCGTCTCTCAAACCATCGGGATTCGTGTTGTCGGAGTTGTGCAAAAATAAGAATTTATAACAACATCCGCAATTTTTAAGAAATTGCATATGCAAGCGAGACATCTGAGCAGGAGGAGATCACTTACTTTGCCCGCATTGAAGGAAATTTTTGATGCTAAGAGGTCCTCCATATAGTTGGTGAGTGGTACCCCCCGAACAGTGACCACCGCCTCTTGCGTGAGCAACGTTTTCGTGGGATCGTTCGGGTGGGGCGTATATCTGACAGCTTCGTCCACAGCGATATAATTACCGAAGGTTAACTGCAACAGTCAAGAACAATTGAGCCGGTCAGTGTGACCGTGAAACCATTCTGGGCGTTCAAAAGAAACGCGTGAGTTTTCCTCACATTTTTGTTGGTCGAACACAGAAAGCGAATTCGCGTCGAATTCACGCGAATCAATGAGGCGTTGTACGTAGCCACACAGATTGCCTCGCTCCGATAAGACGCGTGACTTGCATTATCAAATCTGTTACGCTGTATAAGAAGCACATTGCCTAATACATTCACGCCGCCGTATATCCGTATCGCGAATTTCGGTCGCTCATATCGATCATTGTGCGCGACTCGCGGGAGTTGGCAACCCTCGGGGTAGATGGGCAGTCGGAATTATCGAGATGGAACGTTACCACGAAAGTGACGTAGACACCCTTGAATAATCAATGCCACTAAACAAGCAAACGAGTCGGCAGTGGTTCCCGTCACGGAGAGAAAAAGCGTATCCTGCGCTTCCACTTCCGTGCCTTCCACTACGCCATATTTTTTCCCCTCTTTTTCCGCTCCCTTTTGCTTCGGCCGCGTTATTCGACGTGAATTTCTGAGCTATTTTTCCAATTATTAACTTTTCCTCTCTCAAATCACTCGCACGCGACGATTTATTTGCCGCGATTATTTAAATTAATTTCTCGATGCCTATTATGACGCACGCATGTTTTAGTCGACGACATTGTGCCGATGAAATATTTTCCTCAATGTAGCTCTTTTCTCACAAATAAGGCAGAGATGACGAGTGCGTGTGTCGTCGCTTGTGTAAGCTTTGACGAGAATCTTCCGAGAGTTACGAGTTACAACGTGTCGCCGTGAGTTGCGAGTTACAGCGTGTCATCGAGGATTGCGAGTAGAGTTACGAGTATCACCGCGAGTATCACTGCGAGTCATTTTGTGTCGAGAACTGCCAAAACCCACCAGCCTGTGAGGAGTTCGGAATAAAGTTCCTTTTTATTATCTCAAACGAGATCTCTGTGTATCGCGAGAGACATAATTCTATAGAACAGTGCTTGGAGTTGCACATTTCGGGCAGATTTTATAGGCGCCTACTGTCCCCTCACTACGATCAAGATCGATCGAAGCTCGACGGCCGAGCCGCCGATCGTCTTACGTAGTGAGGCCATATTAGGCGTATTTTCGTTATCCAACCACAACCAACCAGAAGCGACCACGGTCATTTTCGTTTGTGGTCGTGACGTCACCGATGCTAACGCGTTAGCTTGGTAGGACCAGTGAACTCTATACATACTGGAATGAGTGATCTATAGTTCTGGCTGTAGCCGAGAGAGAGGTGCGTTGGGTGAATCCTTGTCTCCTTCTAGTACTACCTGATTGGATAATCGCATATAAATGACGCCCTTCTTCTCGTCATTTATATGCGACTATCCAATCAGGTAGTACTAGAAGGAGACAAGGATTCACCCAAACGCACCTCTCTCTCGGTAACAGCCAGAACAATAGATCACTCATTCCAGTATGTATAGAGTTCACTGGGTAGGACCCAAACATTCAACCAAACCCGGGAGGTCGTTTGCGTGTTTGCGGTAGCGTGTTTGGGCGGGTTTAGAATTCGGCAAATAAAATGCTGGATAACATAACCCTAAACCTCGATCAGCATATGTTGTAAAGAGTACCGCATAGAATTTTTTGTGATTCTTACCGAAACAGCCGGTGAAAATCAAAATCTAACAAAGTAATGCTGGATCCATTCTTCACCGCACAAATAACCTAACCTGAAATGCCGCTGCCTATCCTTTTTTTAAATAGCAAAACAATATTACACGCTGCTCCCGACTTATTAAATGCAATGGTGAATAATTCATCATCAAAGGTCTCCTCTTTAAATAGTTGTATCGCCAAGGCTAAGGCTATATACTTTCATCTTCTGATTCTTCTTCATGGTTGGTCGTGGTTGAATAACGAAAATACGCAGTGGTAGTGGAATATCATTTTCACTAGTGGTTTCTGTTTGTGACGTCACAGCCCGAAACACTCCTAACCAAACGCTACCGTGGTCGCGAAACGAAAAAACGCCTATTATAACTAGTATGCCCGCTCTATCATTTGTTTTGTTTTGCGCCGATCCTTTCTGCGCATCCGCCATTATTTTGGTGAAGCCAATGAGATGGATGTTGTAGATGTGGTAGTGTGACGATAGTGTGACAGGATTTTACACCAAAACCATGGCGGAATACCATGTGATCGAAACCGAAAAGATCAATGAACCAACGGAGAGTGGACATACTAGTTATCATAGAGTCTGTATCAGGAGCATAGAACTTATATCAGGAGACCGAACTAGGCTTGATTACGTCACCGAACACTAGTTCGACATTATTGCAAGTTAGTGAATCAAAATTTTGCCACTTGTAGCGCTGGCGTTGCAGAAACGGATTAAAGATTCGCCCATGAATTTACCGATCTTGATCTCACTGGCTCGTAGATACAGCGTATAACCGTTGTTATCTGGGAGTCGATTTCTGGAACTTACGAAAATTGCAAAAGCAAGCGAATACTAAGATATTTATAATTTCAACCTGTGAATTCGCTTACTTTTGTAATTTTCACAAGTTTCAGAGATACACAATCCACCTCTTCATCTCTCTCACGAACTCTCACGAAAGCCTCATGCATATGACAACCATGTGACACGCGCGAATGCGAATCGAGTTTTCCGTTGACAGCACTCTCAGTGATTCTTTTCGGAACGACTAAGTCTTAGGCCCGGTCTACAATGAGTTGTTAGTCGTTAGTCAGAAGTCGGAACTATATGTCGGTCCTTTTTCTTCTACCCAGAAAGGAAAAGGATCAACATATAGTTGCGACTTCTGACTAACGACTAACGACTCATTGTAGACCGGGCCTAAAAAATGTCGGCCCACTCTGATTACGGGAGTTCGGTCTCCTTATACAGACTCCATGCTAGTTATACTATGGTGAGACCCAATGTCTTACGTAGTGGGAGGACAGTAGGTGTCGTCTTCTAAATCTACCCGAAATATGCAACTATGGTAACTCCGAGCACTGCTATAGAAAACCCTATAATAATATTCCTAAAATAAAACCCGGTTTGGATAGTAGTGAGGTCCAGATTCGAACCCTGACTGAGGTATTATTTTTCCCAATAAAATTTACAAATTATTTCAAAAGGCTGCGTAATTAATATCGTTATTGAATTGAGTATCAATTTAATGACGTGAGCGTAATTCTGTGTCTCAAGACCGAAAGTTTATGTCGGCGCGCAGTTTGCCGGATTGAAAAAGACGTGTACGCAAAAATATAATTAACCACCGAGACCCAGTCGCGACTGTAAACGGCGTTGCTATTCACTGTGCGAGTCACGTAAAACGGCCAAATTTACTTATCATTATTGTTAGCTTTTTTTCTGTCATAGATATTGTACAGTCTCGTTCAATTATATGCAAACATCGAAAATCCGAGTGCGCCCTGTTCGTACCGCGTGATTCGAAGGCAATATTCGCGCTATCGTGCCGCGGCGAAAACTACCGAGTTCACGAAAGGACCGCGGCGATAATGCAACCTCCCCCCCGAATAACCGCAATATACACATATATTACGACCTCGCAATGCGCCACCGGGTGCGTATACGTGTTGAAAACCGAACGTGTACAACAGTTATGCAACGCGGGGTCCGATGTGTATGGCGCGCCGCGACTAATCGAACACGAGCGTGGAGTGCAACAAAACCGGCGAGTAGCGGCGCGCGTAGGAAGACCATCTCGAATTCATTACAGTGCGCCGGTGCGTAAACACGCGACGCGAAAGCGACAAACAGCACTCTGCGAAGCGCGATGTGCGGCGGTGCTTTTGTTGCGGGCGCGGCATACCGTTGGTAGACGAAGCCCCCGGTTGGAGTGCGCCGCGCGTCGCGTTGTCATCGCGCGCGGATTTGTTTCCTGCCGCGAGAGAAACAATCACTCGCTCCGCTTGCGCGACTATATGACGGGAGGAGGAGGTGGTTTGGAAGCGCGAGAGGGAAACTGGGCGCCTCGAGCCAGTTACCCCGAGGCCTAAAGTTTAATCTGTGTCGCTGTCATAGAATTTGTACTAGCTGAAACGTATTTGCTGTCGGTGTATCGGTGTAGCTTGCGCCCGCTGTAAATTTGCGGCGAGAAAACCGGCCCGCGCTCGACGGTTTCGATCTCTCGCGTCGCCACACGGGCGCGCTCCGCCGTGTATCTTTAGGCGCCGTTCAATTCGAAAATCGCAGCCGCGGCGTTGATTGTTTTCACCGTTTTTCGCGCTGCGAATCCTGGCCCCCGAAGCCGCATCTTTCGCGGCCGCGAAGCGCGAAACGTGCACGAGCGAATTGCGTGAATAAAAATCACTTGGGCAATATCTCACCCACGATGTATAGTTTTAATTAACAAAGTTTACACCGACCCTCTGAGGAAAAATGAATATGTGCGTCAAATTACGTCAAACAAGATAAACGCAAAGAAAAAAGTTCTATTTTTTTTGTCGAGCTAATTGACAAATTTTGTTGAACCAATTGCTTACGTGTCGACCCTAACTTCGGGTCCTCGTCAAGCAACAGAGATAGCTGTAAAATTACCGATTCGTGTAAATATAAAGAAGATAACGTTGCTCTAAAATGCGGACCCGAACGTGATCTATGCGTAAGCTCGCAACATCCGAATCAGCGGGGTTAGCAGAGGTGCATGGTCATTATGAGTCTCGGACGAGCGGCATCGTGGCGTAGCGCGTCACGGGGTGGAACAATTGAATCGCACATGGGCGCAATACGTTCCATGAGGAAATTAACGCCCGCGGCACATTGTGTGGGTCCGCCGCGGCCATCCCCAGACATAGAATGACGCGGGGGACGTTGTACTCTATGCACTTCGCGCATATTGGCAATCAGTGAAGCCGACTGTGTTACATCGCGCCGGTCAAACTCGCCGTCCAACTTCGCTTCGCGGCACGACGGTTTCCAAAGCGCGACCCGTGACCCACGGGCACGGGGGAAGAAAG